TATGCATATGTCAAGGTGGAATGCAGTGCGTGCATTCCTTGTGTTGCTTTGTGCTTTCTTTCCTGTGTGGTTACTGTGTTTAGCAGGCAGGCGGGGTGTGGAAGGGAGAGCTCTTTTGACAGGATTTTTACAGCCCAACTGTCTGCACAATTTGCTCTTCTGTTGCTGGCTCTGCTGAACCCGGTTAAGCAATAGGACCCTCTTCCCAGACAGAATACCACCTGCAGCAGCCCTGGAGGGGATTGCTACATGCTCAACCCTAGCTCGTTCTTTCCCTTCTTCATCCCAGAGAGGAAGTTGCTGTCCGTGTGGGCCGGGCACGGTGCTAGGACTGTGGATTTAACAGCAAAACCCAGCCTGGTCCCTACCCCCCCTGAAGTTTATCATCTGGGGCTAGTGACAGATAATGAACCCGTAATCTCGCTAAAAGTCACGTGACTACAAACTGAACTATTTAATAAAGGGTGGCAATGATTGTGTTGGGACTGTCTGTCTGTCTGTCTGACTACAAGAGCTGGGTGAGAGCAGGGAATATAACTATCTAAAGGAAGGGCAGCACCTTCCAAGCAGGAGTAGTAACCAAAAAGCACATCTCTGTGGCCTGCCAGAGGCTGATGGGAAGGTAAGGATGGGCAGGTAGCCCCGGTAACGGCTCTGGCCATCATATCCTGAACATTGGAAAGACTTTAGGGCGTTTTGTTTTCATTTTTATTGCTAGGCTTTTTTTAAAAGAGAAATTTCAGGTGTTTAAAAAGATATAGAATAGATAACACAAAGAGTTCCCATATGCCCCCTTCTCTACACTGAAGGGTTTTACTCAAAAGTGAAGATGTAGGATCAGGGAGAGGAGAGATGTTGACCCTATCAGATGTGTGTTTGGGAAGGGGAAAGTGCTGAGCCAACCGTTGAGCTTCCTGACCACTTTCACCATCCACTCTCCGCTCCACCACATTTCAGACAGCGTATACCTAGATGTCCAGGTGAATGCTGAAGCACACACTCACACTTTCTATTGGACCAAACTCTTCCTGTCAACTTTTCTATGTTCTTCCCTTTCTGCCTTTCCTTTGGACGAGGAAGACACAACACAATACTTATACATTTCACTCCTGCTCTGGGTTAAGTGTGAAGGGCACACCTTCCTGAATCGTCTCCCTAGCTTGGGAAGGATCATGGTCCAGGGAACAGGCTCTGGAAACAGAATGCCTGTCTTCACATCGTGTCTCCATCCCTCACCAGCATAGTGAACTTGGGCAAGGAACGCCTCTGCCTCCTGTTTAGCCTCCGCAGGCTGTTCTGAAGACTGTGATTGACACAGTACAAAGCAGAGAAGACTGGCACCTATCGAGTGCTCCCCTGGTGTTGACTGCTATTATATAACAAGACGTCTGGGATGCATTGTTAAAGCCACAAAAAGAAAGCAAGAAGCAAGATAGAGAAGCATGTGTCATAACAAAAGGCTTGTCTACATGTATTCGTATAAATGCTTAGGGAGTGTCTAAAGATCGGTGAGAAACTCCATACTGGTGACATCTGAGGGACAGGACCGGAAGAGGGGCAGACAGGTGACTCTCACTTTTTCACCTATGATCTTTCTAGTAGCCAGGTCTGTTTTTCAGCCGTGGAGCTATCTTACTTTCATAGTAATGAAATTCCAAAGACAAGTGGAGCAAGTCCAACAGTACCGTTCAATGAACTGATTCGAATAGTCATGATTTCAATAGAATCTTTTATCGTCACTTCAAGGTTCCCCCTCTCCCACCCCGTTAACCTTGGCGACCTCAGGTAAAAAAATAAAACTCTTCTTAGGGTAAAGAGGCAGATACCTAAAGTCCCAACAGCTCTACCGTTTTCATTGATTGTGCTTCTGTTATATTCCGATGCAAGGTGGTGGTTTTGGTTGTTTGTTTGTTAGCCACAGTTATAAAATTCTTAGGCTTATCCTTCCATCTCTCTGTCTCCTTAGGCAGAGATGTCTGGAATGCTATTCTCCCACCAAGTGTAAACAATGCATTTGGCTCATGTGTTGCTGGCTGCTTTGTGCTTTTAAGCATTGCTTAAATTTTTTATAATGAACAGTTTTATCAAAACAATGAAATCATCTCTAGGACTAGAGAGGAGGAGGGTTAGCTCACTCGTCTGTCTAGTAGTAAGCACAATATGCAGCAGTGGAACCTTTGCCAGGCACTAGGGAAGCTTTCCAGCAGGGTTATCATTTGGTGGGTCAGGAGCTACCGAGGAGCTGCTGTTGCCCAGAAAAGAGAAGGCAAGGGGCCTCAGTGGTTACAGAATTGTGTTAGTCTGGGTAGACTAGAGAAACAACCTCATTAACACTCATCTGTATATAAGAAAGAGGTTTATATATGAGAGCAATTGAATATTGAGAAAATGTCCCAGCCCAGTCCCGATCCAGTCCATAAGTCCAATATTAGCCCATAGCCCATATGTCCAATCTATAAAGTCCTCTTTAGACTCACGAGGTGCATGCAATGACGCCGAATGCAGGACGATCACAGGACAGAGGGTGCAAAGTCTTTTGGATCCAGAGTGCCATCTCAGCGCTGGCAGGGGTCTCCACATGGCTCCTCCAGTTCCCAGGGCACGAGGTCTATCAGCGTAGTGACATCTGTCTTGTCAGTGGAGTGAGCAAGTGAGCAGTGAGTGTCTCCCGCCTCCAAGGAGGAAAAACCAGATTTCCCAGAATTCACAGGAGAAGACCATGCCCACAGAGAGGCCTCATTGGCTATACAATGATTAACAAGCTAGACGCCACCCCTTCACTCCCAATCCTCAAATTGACACCAGATTATGAAACTACCACAAGAATCAAGATGTAGAAAATATTGTAAGTGATATCTGTCATCGCCCCACCCCCGCCTTTATTTTTTACAAGTTGAGGCCCTTTATGTTTAACCTAAAAGTTTTGAATCATTGGATTGGTATTTATCAATAGTTTACCCTTAACTGGGTGGGGAGCATCAATATTGCACAGGGCTACAGCATCATTGTCTGCATCATGATTTAAATACATCCCTCTTTCTCCACCATCACTACACAGCACTCTCATTGTTCAAACAGGAGCACCAATCAGGAGAGAATGTTGAGCCCCTTGGCAAAAAAATTCATGAAGTCCCTGTGAGCTTGCCAATTAGTCGCTCATCCCTGATAATGCCCCTCGGGGCGCAATGAGAATTGTCTCTGCAGAAGAAAACACCGTTTTGTAGAAACTGGAACTAAAGGAGTTAACAAATGATTCTTGAGATTAGGGTTAGCAAACTAGAGCAGGGGATAAAATCTGGCCCACTGCCTAATTTTATACCCAGGGACTAAGGATTTTTAAAACAATTTTTAAATGGCTGGTTGAAAAAAAAACGTAATATGTGACAATTATATGATATAACTTTTGGACTCCTGATTGCAAGGTCGGTAGTTAAAAAGGCATGTGTGTTTGTGAGTATATATGGCTGCTTATATGCCACAATATGGAGCCCTGATGGTGTGGTGGTTATACCTTGGTCTGCGATCCCTTTGTTCGGCTGTTCAAAACCACCAGCAGCGCCGAGGGAGACAAACTGGGCCTTCTACTCCTGTCAGGAGTTGCAGTCTCAGAAACCCCTAGGGGTCGCTATGAATCAGCATTGACTCGAAGGCAATGCGTTTAGAGTCTGAGATGTACTATCGCGGCAGGGTTGAATGGCTGTGACTGCAACCGTACAGCATGCAACATTTAAATACTCACTTCCGGTGTCTTCACAGAATAGCTTGTTAACCCTATTTTAGCATCAAAGAGTAGTTACAGTGGAAACCTGTGAGAAGTAGAACTTAAGAGGACCCCTTCATGTTCTGGGTCTCATGCATTCGGTGTTCGAAACAGATTTGGGGTACTGATGGAACCTACCCACTAAAGAAAGTGAAGAAGTTCAGTATCTAGATCTTTCTACTTTCCTCACCAAGTCAGGAACGAGTAATAGTGTGAGATCCATCAGATCAGCCGAAGGACCATGAAAAATACCATGGCCACCAATGGCCAACTTAACCCAGTCCCTGCCATCAAGGCCATCCATAGGACAGAGCCTGTTCTTTAAGGTTTCGAGGACTGCCCGTCTTTCTGAGAGCAGTCTCATCATTCTCTCTTGGAGTGGCTGGTGGGTTTGAACTACTGCCATGAGTAGCCTAATGCTTAAACTGATGCTCCACCGGGGTTCCTTAAAAGATAGCTAGGACCTCTTAAAACTGGATTATTAATTCTAATTTGAAGCCCTCAAATAATACCAGTCCTCTTTCTGAAACTCAAAATGTGAAATCGTGTCATCTTTGCATCAGAGAAACCTTGTGAATTGGAAAATCTGCATTTATTGTAATGAAACATTCCCATTGTGGTCAATATGCATGTAACATAACATTTGCCATTGCAACAACCTTCACCTGCACAAGTGAGCAGATTACGCGTGCTCATCATGTGTCCAACCACTCTTCCCATCACCTTGATAGAAGCTCAGTGTCCCACATGCTTTAAGTGAGAGGCAAAATCTTTTATTCTTGTGACCTTTATAAAAACACACAGCTCCATCAAATGAAAGTTGATGGTCCCCTTTGTTCCATGGTGTCACCGTATTAAAATGTTGGGTTTGGACTTGCATTCAGTACAAGTCTCCATCTGCTGTCATATTCACATGGCATCACATGCATCATGTCGCCATCATATCACCATCAGATAGTAGGAAATACCTCCGGCTAGAGGCCTAAAATCTGATCCTATGTATGAACATTCGCCGTGGCATTTGAATGAACATTTATGACTAACTATCTTTCTCCTCTCTGCCTCAATATAAAAGAAAATATGAAACCAACACAAAAGTATTCTCCTCCCCATAAAATAATGCTGACAACAATACCATACAGCAGTATGCAGTTGGAAAGATGAGTCATTTTGATTCAAAACCCTGACCATGCCCATGACTGACCTCAGTGGTCTCTTCTTCTGTTTTGTTCTGTTTCAGAGGTTGAAGGCCGCGCTGACTCACCACCCTGCTGCCATGTCCAATGGGAATATGAACACCATGGGACACATGATGGAAATGATGGGCTCCCGGCAAGACCAGACGCCACACCATCACATGCACTCACACCCCCATCAGCACCAGACCCTCCCACCCCATCACCCCTACCCACACCAGCACCAGCACCCAGCACACCATCCACATGCTCAACCCCATCACCATCAGAACCACCCCCATCATCACTCCCACTCCCACCTTCATGCACACCCGGCGCATCACCAGACCTCGCCACACCCACCCCTGCACAGCGGCAACCAAGCACAGGTTGGTTGATCTCGTTCCTCTTCGGGGTTAACAGTGTAGACTATAAAGCCTGGAGGGGTGACGGGGGCGGGCAGAGGGGCAAGGCATTCGCGGCAATGACCCCACTGGTCTAGCTGGCGCTCTTGGGCGCACTTCCCATTCCCCAGGAGGTAATGGTTACCTACACTGCCCTGCAAGATCACATGGTCTATAACGCATCCATTCGATCTCAGGCTCAGTCTGTAGGGGCAAATATGAGTGTCCAGCCCTCCAAAATCAATGCTTGTGTTACCCAGTTAGCCCTTCAGGAGGGGTCAGGAAGAATTAAAGCTAGGGAAGAAAGATGGTGGGGCTGGGGGAAGGGATGGAATGAGAAGAGTAAATGAATCCTAAGTTTGGTTCTAGCTGTTGGGTTGCATAACATCATAGTGATTCTGTGTTATCCTGTAGACAACCTGTTCCATCCAGTGGGTAATAGTCTGAGGAACACCAGATGTTAAAAGCCTAAAGAGTAACAATTCAAGGCCAAGCAAACGGCTTATATTGGATGCTAGAGCAAAAGGTGTCCTGTGAATGGTGTTGGGAGGTGACTCATCCCACCCAGTGTGAAATGCGTTGGAGGGAACAGAGAGAGCCAAGCTCTGTAGATGATCAGTTCAAGAGCTAGGCCGAATCCCAGCGGTGCAGTAGCTGGAAAGCAAGCCAGCAGTTAGACTAAATTCAAAGAGGGTTGGGGGGCCAGGCAGACATTATGTCACCCAGCCCGTGTACCCAACTGTGTTGGGAGCATGGCTAGCCCCACCCACTTTGGATCCTTAGGATGACCTCCACTGGCCCCTCCACCCTTCCCGTCTGCCCAGTTCTGACCAGTGAGAACACAATGAAGCTGGAGGCTTGGGGCCAACAAATGACATTTATTCACCGTCTCCCCGTCTTCTGCCTCTGGAGACAAGATTTCGCAACCAATTCGCTTCGGAGCTCTTTAAGCTCCCCATGCAGAAAACCATGCACATCCACAAAGGAGGGCAGCCACAAAGCAACTTAACTCATGGGAAGTGAACTCCCATTTGCCACCATTAGCAGCCCTGTCTGTGACGCATGAGGATACACGCTCTGGAGCGAAGAAGCGTTCTTTCCTTTCCCGCTCCCCTGGCTGTGTGACTATGGACAGTTAAGGAACCTCCCATCTGCTGATGATGGGCAATTATAGAATGGCTTCGCAGCACCTAAGAGTATCTATTCAACAAGAGCATCTATGAAGGCCTCAACTCTTCCCAAGAGAAATAATATGATCGAAATTTAGTAACTTTTGAGTCCCCTTTGCAGTCAGACGCTATCCTGAGACATGCGTTTAGAAAAGAAAAAGAAAAGTTACAAGGTCAAAGATAAGGTGACCCAGTTCAGATTAGTATTTATTTTGGAGGACAAGCAGGAGCATCAAGTTTGGGTTGCTATTGTGGGTAAGTTATTTCACGGACAAGCTTAACAGTTCTTTGAATATAAAAACCATTCATTAGCTAATTACCCATTAGCTAATTGCCCTCTGTTTCAAGGCAGTAAGTGGCCAATTGTCCAATTGCCCTCTGTTTCAAGGCAGTAAGTGGCCAATTGTATATGCAATTAGTTAATTGCTATTATAATTAGCTACATGAGCAGTTCCTTTTTGATTCCCTTACTAAAAAGAAACACTCCCTTTGGGTTGGTCTTATTAAAATTTAAGCAAAATCATTTAGACGCCATTCTAAAATAAAGCCTTACATGATAGGAAATTGATAGCTAAGATTGGGTCACGTTGCATAACTGTAGTATTAGGAGAACCCTTAAGCCTAGCAGCTTCTTGGAGCCTTTAGATCTCTGACACTCTTACTTGTAAGGATGAGACTTCAAAGTCTGGGTTTCAGCTCAGAGCTAACAGGATTTTTTTTTTTTATGTAACCAATTCATACATTCTACCCTGAATCTGAAATTTCCACATTGCTTATTCCATTAAAAAAAATAGTTTCGTTGGCATGTAATTCACATACTATATAATTCAATAGATCAAGCATATGGAGGAGAGTTGTATAATCATCACCACAATCCGTTTCAGACCATTTTCTTCTTGCTCCTACACATTGTTGACAGCTCCCCATCCTCACCCCACCCTCACCCCTCAACCTCCCCTGCCATGCCCTAGGTCATTATCGAAGGCAGACAAAGGCTGCTGGAAGGTAGGGTCAAAGGTTGCAGCAGTGCGAGGTCCGTGAAGGGAGATCTAGAACCCTGTTTTGCCTACTTGAAAATCCGGGTGACTGCTGGCTGTAAGAGATCGCCCGTTTCATGAAAAGAAAAGGCAATGGCTAGAGTAGCGGCGCCCTTCTCCATTCCCGGGACATGGTTTCCTTTGGAAGCGTCAGCTCCGAGCAAAGCATCCGAAATGGCAAGGGGCAAACCTTTGCCAGTAACAGGGCTCACGTCTTCGCCAGCCACTCTGGTGAGCCAGACCTCAGACAACTCGTGTTCTCCGTCTGTGAGCGGAGCGGGTGATCGCCAATCACACTTTTGGAGAGGAGGCTTTCGCGTTCCGTAAAATGACTGAGTGTGTACACAGTCCAGCCTCCCGTCGGTCACAGAAGGCTCGCCAGGACTCGGGATTCAGAGAGTTCACCACCAGTCAGCTGACGGCAGGCCGTAGCCTCTATTAGCACAGTTGCAGTCATTCTGATTGATTTTCATCATAGGACTGCAACGGAGGGGGAAGGGCCGCTGGGCTCCAGTTTTGAATTTTTTTTTTTTTTGCCTGTTATTTCGGCAGGTTAAATATGTCTTGTAAAACAACTTTATAGGTATGACGGCTATAAAGCTGAGTGACTGTGAAATGGGAGGGGAAGAATAAGAAATGAGTGCCTTGATTGAGAACGGGGAAAGGGGCAGAGGGCAGAGTGTTAGGGAAAGCCTTCGTTCGCGTCCAGACGAATAAAGAGGCAGTCGCCACAGTTTCACAGGGACCGTGCGTCAGACTGGGGGCGGGGGGCGGGGATAGGGGGTAGGGACAGACCTGTGCCTGTGGGGGTCTCCTTAGAGGTCGCTGAACTCCATGCAGACCTTACCGGGAGCTTAGAAGCACTGTAAGCAGCCTTAACAAAGTGTTCTGCCACTTCTCCTAATGGGAATAGATGGAGATGCACCTCCCTCCCTCTCATAGTGTGGGCAGCTGCCCAGGGACCACTCTGAGGGTCCGCTGCTTCCAAGGGCCCGTTTCTGATCACCTCTGGGTTCCGGCAACTTCTTCCCGAGTCCACACCGTGAGAAGCAGACCGATCTAGCAGTCCTCTGCGTTAAGAGCTGTCACGCAGTGAAAGTGGCTGACTGGTGCTCCCGGACTGCATCCGTTGTTTTGATAGGAGTCACAGTGTCCACGATGTCCCCAAGGAGAGCCACCACGGGACCGTGCTTTTAACACTGTTAGGAATGGACGGCGCCACCAGCCTGCCCAGTTGAGGGACCTTGCCTTCGTAATGGGACCAAACCCTGACCTCTCTGCATTATAGCCTACGGGGGCAGCTTTAAAGTACTTAAATACACTATCAAGCAAACTTAAAAAAAAAAAAGTTTCTTCTGCCATGGTTAGGCCCTGTGAAAGAAACAATCTAAGCAGGTCTGCCTAAATCTACCCATAACTTTTCTATACCTTGCCAGAAGGTCACAGAAGATCCTAAAATCAAAGCAAAACAAACAGACAAATCCATTCGTGAAGTCGATTCAGACTTATAGCGACCCTAAAAATACTAATATTAATGTAATAATAACCCTGAGACTAGAGGTCAGTGCTGCGGCATGCCCCCAGGAGCACGGGTCCATTGTTGCCTTCACTCTTAGGGAACACGCTTGCAGTGCTTAGGAGAGCAGTTGACTCTGTGTGCTGTGCATTTTAACACTGGCTTGGGTTTCTTCCCTCCCCAAACATCCCCTCCCTCCCGCCCCCACCTCTCCACCCCTCTCCCTGGGTCCCAGCAGGTTTCCCCAGCGACCCAGCAGATGCAGCCCACCCAGACAATACAGCCGCCCCAGCCCACCGGGGGACGCCGGCGGAGGGTGGTAGACGAAGACCCCGATGAGAGGCGGCGGAAGTTTCTGGAACGAAACCGCGCGGCTGCCACCCGCTGCAGGCAGAAGAGGAAGGTCTGGGTGATGTCACTGGAAAAGAAAGCAGAAGAGCTCACCCAGACAAACATGCAGCTTCAGGTGCAGGCCACGGTCTCTGTCCTCCCCCTCAGAGGCTCCTTGTGCGGCGGGCATGCCCTGGCCCCTCGGGCACCGGCTGACCCACACCAGAGTAGGACGCCTTACTCATTCTGGGACGCTCTGCAAAACCAAAGCAAGCCCTTCTGGTTTAAATCAGTCGGCTCACAAGGCCCTGCGGAGGGCAAGGTCTGTGTCAGTCAGCTGGGGGGTCCCAGTCGGGGCAGTTCTGTACCGTGTCTAACCTCAGTTTCCTGAAGCAGAAGTACTAACCTCAGGGGGGTGGAGGGGGGACGAGAAATGAACCCCTGTCTGCAGAGCAGGTAGCACAATGCCTGGTCCAGGGTCAGTCCTTAACCACAACGCAGCCAGGTAGTCGCCGAGTGAGGAGGTAGCCCGGGCCTCTATGGGATTCTCTTGTTGTGCCGTGGAGGAAAGGAAGGTTTATGAGGGTCGTTTTGCTCCTGAAGTAAAGTCCTGTTTTATCTGCTTTGCTCCAGTGCGTTTGAATCTGGCAAGATTTGGATCTTACTAGTGGCTCACTGGGGACGTGGTATAGTCAGGCTGCTCTGGGAGGACTTGAAAGAGCAGAGACAATTCAAGCACCTAGGGAATCTATTCACATGGTCGGCAGTCTGAAACCACCGGCAGCTCCTTGGGGGAAAGACTGTTTTCTAGGCCTGGAAACAGTGACAGTCTTGGAAACCCACAGGGGGTCGCTGCGAGTGAGCAGACTGGAGGGGCAGTGAGTTTGAATTGGGATTCTGCCAGCCCCACAACGAAGTTCATAGCGTTTGGTCTAATGGGGTTGGGGGTGAGGGGGCGGGTTGAGCACTCTTCACCAACAGGAAGAAGGGAACAAAACAGATCTGTAATTAAAACACATCGGGGTTGTAGCCCAGAACTTCCAGGAGCTGAGGGAATAGCAAAAGGGAGGGGGACAAAGAGTACCCACAATTGGGAAACTGTAGACCAGTGGTTCTCAACCTTCCTAATGCCGTGACCCTTTCATACAGTTCCTCATGTGGTGGTGACCCCCCAACCATAAAATTATTTTCGTTACTACTTCATCACTGTCATTTTACTACTGTTATGAATCAGGCGACGTCCCCACGGAGAGCCCCAAAGGGGTTGTGACCCACAGGTTGAGAACCACTGCTCTAGACCTTCCTGAGTCACCTTCATCCTTGCCCCCATCTGGTTCTCTGTGCTTCCTTAGAAAGAACCCCTTAAGGTGCCATACCCCCAAGGCCTCTGCCTATTCAGTCCGACATCAAGTGGAAAGCATCTTGGGTGGCCCAAGGTGAACGTTGATATTATACCAGGAGAGTCTGTGTCCTAGAAATCGGCTGAGCCCCATTGTGTGTAAGTGTTCTGTTTTTCCATACACGTACCATTCTTTTTGTGATCCACATGAGAAAGTAACTGGGAACGATATGGCACAAGCAGGGACGAGTAGGATCGTGATTCTTCCCACTGGTTTGTATGCTGCATCAAGACAGGGCGGACTGTCTTCATATCCCCACGCTGCACCCCCCACCCCATCTATGCCTGCATGCAGCATAGTGGCTGGTGTGGGAGTCTCTAGCTATCCAACCCCAATAGTCATTTGGTAAATGAGTTTCCTGCCACCACAGAGCCAAGCCCGGACTCCCTGACCGCTCGTCAACACTGTGATAGAAGGGAATCAAGCCACTATAGGATGGCTGCGATCAAATATTTAAAACCTCTTCAAAGCTGGTCATTCTTGAACTGGGCATGAACACACGGGAGGATGTCAGTAGAACATGGATAAGCACAGCATGTTTAATGATCACAACTGTGTTTTATCTGGATGTGTAGTTGAGAAATGTAATGAGGGCCTGTAACCTACAATTTGACAGATATTATTGGGCAGGGCAAGGTTAAATCCTTGTTTGAAACAGTTAATTTGAACAAACACGTTAAGTAAATAAAAGTTCAGGTGTATAGGGCCTTGGCGGTGGTGGTTGGGTGACAAGTGAAGCTTGGGAATCCTTGGAATTTGCTACCAGTTTCCAGGAACGGGCTGCAGGAGGACCAGGAAGGGGCGTAGGTCCAGCCTTCAATGACGGCGCCTCAGTCTTGCACTACTGACTTACTTTGGTGGTTGTCATTGGATGCCTTCAAGTCCAATTTCTACTTAGAGGGACCCCCTGAGTAGGTTTGGCCCCTCGGGTTTCTTAGGCTGTCATCTTTAGGGAAGCAGATCACCAGACCTTTCTGGTGGATTCAAAGCACCGTCGTTGGCTTAGCAGCCACACACAGCCACCAGGCCTCCGGTCCTTCTCTGGTGTCCGAGGCTACCCTGGTCATTTTGAGAGGCAGGGCCACATCCCAGCACCTCTACGCAGATACCCACCCACTTTGACAACCACAAGGACATTGCCATGTGTGCCCTGAGGGGCAAAATCACTCTCAGTTGAGAACTGCTGTCTCAGATGACTCATTTACCGCCATGGAGTCACTGCTGACTCACGGGACCACAGAGCACAGCAGAGCGCTGCTCCTGAGGATTTCTGAGGCTGTAACTCTTGATGGGAGTACAAAGCCCCATCTTCTCCTAAAAAGCGGCTGGGTGTTTTGAACCTTGCAGTTAGCAGCCCAACGAGTAACTATCTTAGATAAACGAACCAGGAATAGCTGGTTGGCAGATCTCGGTTGTCCACAGGGGTTTAGACTCCGTGTTAACTAACATGTGCCTGCAAGAATGACTCCAGGGTCGTTAGGATGGTCTGGAAAACATGAAGAAGCCAGCATAGGAAATAAGGAAAAGCTGAGATGCCGGTTCACATGGAAGGGCAGACGTGCCCATCACTTGGGCATGTGCATATGCTCAGTGGCTTTGATACAGCACACGAAGCAGATCGACCTTCGATTAGGTCCTACCCATTGATTTTTACATGCGTTAGAGACAACTGCCCAAGAAAAGGAGTTATTAGATGCTTAGCCCCTGGAAAGTAGAAACATGGAGCAAAAAAATAAAAAGGAGAGAAAAAAATAAAGCGAAACAGGAATCCTCCAGAGTCCTGTCAGCGAACGCTGACGGCCCTTGGTCGTTGGAGCAGTGCGTCAGCAAGGGCCAGTTTCTGGAAAGGGCTAGGCTGATGTTTTCCAGCCTCCGCTGAGCTGCAGGAAGAGAGAAACCACTGCTGCCCGTGGCTCTCAGTGGGTCTGCTGGGGGCCGGCATCAGGCACTGACGTGCTGAAGCGTATGTTGCAGGCTCTGCTACCTTTGAATGACCCTTTCCCTCTCACTGGACCTTTGTAGAAAGGT